GGGGGTAGCTGTGACACAGCAGTCAGGGAGCTGTCAGTTCCCGAGTCGGGCCCGTGTGCCCCCTGCATGGAGGCCACCACCACTACCACCGACCCTCCGGTGGCGCCCAGGCCGCTGTCTCGTTCCGCAGTCTGGTCAAAAGTATTGCTGTGCCTAATGCAATCCCCGGACCTGGTCAGGACACTGCTGTCCGAATCCCGCTCATAGTATTCCATACACGTCCATCGACCGCGTCTATAGGGCTCCCCGCTCCCGTGGTCCAGCTTGATCACGCGAAAACGGGAACTACAAGTGGTGGGGGGCTGCGATGGAGCTGGCCCCGCAGATGAGCCCGCGGCCGGGGGGGCGCCGGATGCCCCCGAGGAGGGGGCTGGGGTGGCAGCTGTCGCCAGAGTATTGGCCAGCGCCCCAATCACGCTCCGGGCCGAAACGGCTCCTCCTCCGTTGGCGGGAGCAGTAGCCGCGGCCGCTAGCTGCCCGTCCAGAAGGAGGTTTGGGGAGACCGTCCCGGGAGTCTCCGCATCCCCAACATTGTTGAGAGTCTCTTCGGAGGAGCTACGCTCGCAGACCTCCTCAGGGCCATAATCCGTGGCCCGAGACACGTCAAATATCTCAGAGGAGACGTCCTCGGTGCGTGACTCGTCCGGGTCGTCCAGGCTCTCGGTGTCCTCGGTGATGCTAGTGGCCACCTGGGCCGTGGTGACACTGGTGATCTGGAAGCAGCTCTTCTTCTTGGCCGGCATCTTGGACATGGTGAGGAAGGCTGGGGGGCAGAGGCACTGCGGCTCCTCTGCGAACTTGCTGGAAACCAGGAAGGACAGAGCACGGGCCCCCAAAGACAAAGTCCGAGTCCGCTCTGGGGTCTGAGGCCCGCCGCCGAGTCACGGGCTGATCCGGGCGCTCGTTCTGTGAGACATCCTCCTCTCCCTTTCCTTCTCTGTGTCAGTCTCCTGCTCTGCCCCCGTCTCACTTGCGCGGCAGCTGCTCCTCCTCCTTTTTCGCCTCCCGCAGCCGAGGCGCCTCAATTCAATCCCCTCAGTGGTGGCGAGAGCGCGATCCCA